CTGTCTTCATTCCCATGGCATTAATATTGTAGGAAACCTGCCCAGGAAACTAAAGTTGCAAATAACTTCATTGTTCATTTCAAGAACTTCCTCAAAGTAATTTATCCAACAACTATACTACTCGACTTACACTGATTTCACAAAAATGAAAAATCAGTGGAGAGAGGTAGTAGTCACATTCCTAGTCAGGGGCGGAGAAAAGACTTGAGGCCAGGTCTCCTGACTTCTGCCAAGTCTCTGCACAACAGTATGCTTTGTTTCAAACTATTTCCAGGGCTCAAGGTGATGACAATCAGGCTTTAGAGACAATTTATGAATACAGTGACTATCTTGTTAAAGGCAGAGAACCCCAGAAATCACTTAACTCATAAATTGAGGCCACGGGATGTACTGTGATTTGCTCTGTGTCACTCAGTTAATTGGTATAATAAATGTGAGAAGAAATATTACAAGACAGAATGTGATTTAACTGCCAGGGAATGATGAAAACCTACATTTTAGTTTAGTTTAAAAAAAAAACCACAATTGTGGGCCAGAAAGAAAGGACTTAAGGGATTTGAGCTGACTCTTAAACCAACAGATGGAATGTGAAACATGTTCACAGAACAGAGGATTTGTTAAAATTGTTTCAGGAGTATTAGTTACATTGGGGCGGGGAGATAAAGTTGATTACATTTAAATTTTCCAACCAAGTATACAGTATGTATGCTTCTGTGGAAGCAGAAACATCTGAAGTTTAGAGAAATTTTCTTCAGAATGCCCAGGTAGCAATAAGCTGAATCTTCCTAAGTACTGAACTTAATATATTCCAATCCACTGGCAACCTTATTTCTGTGACTTGCTGTATTAACAACACTGAACCTAGGAAAGTTTTTTAAAAGTACTTAAGTTATTCTTCAAAATTAAGTATATTTTCACTCAGTTCAAAACTGACTCTTAATTTAGATTTGAAAGAAATTTCAGAGAATCTAACCTCTATTTGGTTAATTGACTTCTTCTATTTTCATTTTTCATATTTTCATTTTCAGGATACAACCAGTCTGAGTTATCAAAACACAACCAAAATAGGCGTAAAAATAATATCACACACAGCCAGATAGGTAGAGAGATAGCTGATTTCATTAATGGCCACAATACTGATATTACTACCATTTGTAATTAATGACTCAAAAGAAACAATCATTAAAAGAAAGGATATATGGGCCGCTGGGGTCGGTGAAGGATCTCAAGATGGCTGTGTGAAAACTTGTTCTAAAAACCATTGACTGGGTAGCTTTTGGGGAGATCATACCCTGAAACCAGAAGGCCATTGTTAACTCCCTGAAATCCTGGAATGAGACACTTACCTCCAGGTTGGCTGCTCTCCCTGAGAAACCACCTGCTATCGACTGGGCTTACTACAAGGCCAATGTGGCGAAGGCTGGTTTGGTAGATGACTTTGAGAAGAAGTTTAATGCCCTGAAGGTTCCTGTGCCAGAGGATAAATATACTGTTCAGTTGGATGCTGAAGAAAAAGATGTGAAAAGTTGTGCCGAGTTTATGTCTCTCTCAAAGGCCAGGATTGAGGAATATGAAAAAGAGCTGGAGAAGATGAGGAACATAATTCCATTTGATCAGATGACCATTGAGGACCTGAATGAAGTCTTCCCAGAAACCAAATTAGACAAGAAGTATTCCTATTGGCCTCACAAGCCAATTGAGAATTTATAAACTTGAATTGGGGAGAAAGCTCTGGCCCTCGTATTGTAAATGCTGGACGTTAAAAATAATGATACGGGAAAAAAAAAAAGGATATATTTTAGATCTGTTCAAGTATTGAATTTGACCTTACTACTTATATATTATCAAAGTTCCAATTTAAATTTGTTGTTCTTGTTTTAATGGTTTTTAAAACAAATGCAAAAGTTGCTAGATATACAATACAAATCTAAATCTGCAAGTAAGATATTTAAAATTTTACTTTGACAACTATAAATTTACTGTTAGGACCACTCATTTAAATTCCACCCCAGGTCAATTATTTTATTAATAAAAGAGCCCTAACAAAAGTAATTTGTTTGGTCAATCATACCTCAATAAAATGGAAAAAATAACTTACTGAAAGACTTCTACCTTTAACTGTTGTGATGGATCAGAATATCCTGGGTAACCCTAAAATGAGTCAAAATGTTTATTTTAATGTTAATCTCATAATGTAATTGCATCCAGAACTATGCCTTTGATGCACTGGGCTGAATAAGGACACACTTGACAGAAAACTGCTTTCAAAAGCATCATTTACAAATGGAATTGGACCACTTTCTCATACCATACATAAAAATAAACTCAAAATGGATTAAAGACCTAAATGTAAGACCTGAAAACATAAAACTTCTAGAAGAAAACATAGGCAGTAATTTCTCTGACATTGGCATTAGCAACACTTTCTAGATACGTTTCCTCAAACAAAAGCAAAATAAACTGTTGGGACTACATCAAAATAAAAAGCTTTTGCACAGTGAAGGAAACCACCGACAAAATGAAAAGGCAACCTATTGAATGGGAGAAGATATTTGCAAATGATCTATCCAGTAATGGGCTAATATCCAAAACATATTAAAGAATTTATACAAGTTGACACCAAAAACACCCAAATAATCCGCTTAAAATGGGCAGAGGACCTGACTGACAATTTTCCCAAGACAACATCCAAATGGCCAACAGACACATGAAAAGATGCTCAATGTCACTCATCCTCAGGGAAATGCAAATCAAAACCACAATGAGGTATCACCTTACACCTGTCAGAATGACTAGACTCAGAGATGAGATAAATGTTGGCCAATATGTGGAGAAAAAAGAACCCTCGTGAATGGAAGCTACTATTATATACACAGGATTCTTCATTACAACTCTTGTCATTCTTGCTCATTAAGTATCTATTCAGTATGTGGTAGAACTGCATTTTCCATCGGAGTGATCAGATTTTACACCTCCATGGAAGCACTGAATAATTACTGGGAGTGGGGGGGGTGGGGAGCAGTGATGAGCAGAGTTCTCTAGGACGCTGATATTGCACCTTTATCTCTCTGCCATATAGAGTACCCTTAACCCAATAATGGAAACAAAAGGGTCTGTTAAAGGTAAAACGATCCCTATAGTTTCTGTGCGCCGCTGGTGTGACAGAAAACTGTTTATTCAGATGTCTAGAGTGATTGAAGAGTCACTGGAGAGATGCAAGAGTCCTTATGAAATGCAAGATTATCTTTTCTGAAATATCAAGTCTCTACCTGTTCGGGCTACTTTTAATTTTCTACATATATACTATTTCCTAATCACTTAGAAACTTAAAATCTATGCCGTGTATACTAGAACACTAGAAAACAGCATGCCTGATTAATAAGTACTATTTTCCTCTATCATCTCAAGTAACAGAAAAAAATGTGTATGACTCTAGCCTTTTGACTGTGCAGATCAAGAACACACACAGTGACATAACTATTCATCTGAACATCATTAAATACAAAGTAATTAAGCTTTTAATATGCAACAAGAAATCACACTTGTCTCCAGCTTGAGTGAAGTGCTTAGAAAAGTTTATTTTGTGCTTAGACTATTTTTCTAAAGCATCACAGAATTATTTATTATACATCCAAAACTCTTCAATGGTAGAATATTTAATATTCTAAAGGCAAGGCCTTTCAAGAAAACTGTTGTACATTATGATACTGCATAAGTCTAATGGATTCACACAGCAACAGAATCTAGACAAAAGGGGACATTACAGAAATTGTCTATTACATAAATGGACAAGGGATTCACTCTGAGTTATGGTTTTTTCCCTTCTTGTAGGTAATACAGTTCTTACTGCCACCCAGCACCCCTCCCTACTTTCACTGTAAGGTGAAAACTCTGTGCTCTAACTCTCTGAGGAGTAAAAATATTTTAAATGTCCCATCCTGCTGATGCCCACCTATGAAATACTACACAATAAAAAAGTACAGCAGAATATAGATTTTGTGTGTTCAAAAACGTAAGAATGCTGTGATTTTTAAACATCAAGCATATACAGACTGTGTAAAATTAATTAGGAACTTTCTGCGTGATGAATATACATTGAAAACATACACTATAAGATACTTTTTCCTGAGTAGAATGCTAACTTTATTTTATATCAAATTAAGTTTCTATGAATTTTGAAAATGTAAAATACCAAGGCTTTTCCACATCAAATAAAAATCAGGAATGCTCACCTTCATATCCAAAAAAAACAGAAACAAAAAACATGGTTCAAGGAGAGGTTCAACAGAATGATATAAAATCTGAAATGAATGGCCAAAATTTTAAATCATCAGTAGACAGCTCTTCAATTTTAAGGATCCCTCAGTAAACTTCGGTTTGAAACAACAAAAAAGGACTATTTATTAAAGAATGAAAAACATTCCAAAAATTATCCAATTTGGAAAATGAAAAATGTAACCCATGGTTAAGAAAAATACAAATCATACACTGAACAGAGGGGAACAAAAAAGGTAACCAACCTTTATAGGAATCAAGACAACACCATGGACTTATATAAAAACTTCCTAAATCAGTAGCATATCCTGTATTATCACATGTAGAAAACTATAATTAAACAAGGTAGTTTTTATTAGTTGCATAATCTAAAAATATGAAGAAATCTTGAACTATCTCTCTAAAATGACCAGAGTTGTCACTCAAATACACATTTCTTGAGACAATGGGCAAAGTTCCCATTTATGGGAAATATGTTCGTTTTTTCACACAGTGAAACTGAGAAAAATTATATCAAATGAGAAATCTTTTTCTCCAAAGTAATCTCCTTAAATACCTCAATAATGCAATATTCGGGAAATGTAAATTTTCAACTCAGAAAACTTGAAACCGATTATTAAACAAACATACTCAAATCTTATTGCTTGGCACCAGATTTTTCAAAAATTAAAGAATTGTTTAAACCATCATATTGCCATTCTTAAATCCTATTTCAAACGTTTTTATGTAGTGCTACTTTTATTTTCTGAAGGTAGTCTGTTCAATCTAATGATAATCTAGACTGAACCCTGCAATGTACAAGCATGTCACAGTTCACTTCAAACCAAAACAAATGATCAATCTTCTCTTTCTGCCAAAATAATATTATGATATTAAGAAAAATTAACTAGGATTTATCTGTGGCCAATGAAGGACCCAAAGTACGTTGTCTTATGGCATTCTGTGCAAAGTCTTTGTTTGCTCCTTCTTTACTTCCTGCTTCCTCTTCTGAAACATCTTCTTCATCAGCCTCTTGTTCCTCCTCCACTTTTTGCAAAGGTTGAGAAGATTCAGGTAATAATTTTTCTTAAAGATAAAGACCAGAGGGAATTAAGAGGTACAAACTTCCAGTTATAAAATAAATAAGTCACTGAGATGAAAAGTACAGCATCAGGAATATAGTCAGTAATATCTCAATAACATTGTATGGCAAGAGACAACAACATTCATGGTGAGCATTAAAAAAAGATCAAGACCAGAAATGGGTTTTTGTTGTTGTTGTTGCTGTTAACAGATTTGCACTGGAGTAAAATCAAGACACGATTCTATGCCCATAAACTGCTTTGCCACTTATTTATCAATCATAAGTTTAGATTTCCAAAAGGAAAAAGTTATCTTTAAGAGTGACACCATAAAAATAAAAATTGGTTTGAAAGATCCATTTTACTTACCAAATTCATTATAATTACCTGCCTGTTTATAAACTGAACTGAAATTAATAAACCAAAATTAATGCTATGAACGTGGAAAATACACAGCATTCAACAGAACCATCTTAATTTGCTATTAAATCTTCCAGTGAACAAGTACACTGAAACAGACTCCAACACTACCCTTGTTTCAGTTCCCACATGAACAGGAATCAGACATTTACTACTGACGGTTATATATTTTTTTTTTTTTTAAAGATTTTATTTATTTATTTCTGAGAATGAGATAGAGAGAAAGCATGAGGGGGGGAGGGTCAGAGGGAGAAGCGGGCTCCCTGCTCGATGCGGGACTCGATCCTGGGACTCCAGGATCATGACCTGAGCTGAAGGCAGTCGCTTAACCAACTGAGCCACCCAGGCGCCCGTGACGGTTATATTCTTATCCAGGTTTTTTCCAAGGAGTTTCACAGATGTTCTTCTTTACAGATATAATTTTATTAAGATATAATTGCAAATGAAATGTACAAATCTTAAGTGTACAGCTCAATGACTTTTTAACTCTGTCTACACACACATACCCTTTCCATTTTTTTAACAAGGCCTATTGATAGTTAACTTAAACTTAGAACACACCATGTAACAGAGAGATACAGAACATAGAGTTGGGCCAATGAGCGTCAGTCTGTTCAGTGATACTAGACTGCCCCTAATCTTAGGCAATTCAGAAGAGTAGGGAGATGCGAGGGTGCAAGGCAGAAGAAAACACCAGAAGCAATTACCACATGGTAGACAATCTGTTGTTTGGTCGGGCCTCCCTCTTTCTGTTGGGTTAATAGCCCCTTCCCTGTACCACATCCCATGTAGCTGTGGTGAGCACTACAGTTCACCCCAGTGGTTCTCCACCAGGGGTGATTTTGCTGCACACACGCGCCTCCCCCCCACCCGCCCCACCCAAAAGAACACTCCGCAACATCTGGAGATATTTTTGGTTGTCACAACTAAGAGGAGCGGTGCTACCGCCAACCAATGGGATGCTGCCAAACATCCAACAATGTACAAAAGACAGTCTGTCACAACTAAGAAGTAACTAGCCCAAATGTGAGAAGTGTCCAGGTTGAGAAACCCTGGTTTACAGTGACTGTTCCAAACAAGTGAGCTCTTTACACTAGTGGAGTGCATCAGAATTTTTCTGAAAGATAGGTGGGTGGAGGGGAAAAGTGTATTTCCTTCTTACTCTGGATTGTGAGCTATGGCTTTCTTAATCATTTTATGCTAAGGACTGGAAAGAGCCAAAAATGGAGCAAGCTAAGGCATGGACAACTAAGCAATTGAGAAACACAACATCTCAACATTTGAGGCCTAGGATCCAGCCATCTCTGCCCTCAGACTTGCTTGCTACCTGAAGCAATAAACTTCTATTTTGCTTAAAGCTGGACTGAGTTGGGTCTTTCCCTAGCAACTCAAAATCTAAGCTAAACACATCCTGGAAAACAACTCAAATCATGTGGCCTGCTATAGAAAGGGTGGTATCAGATTCAAGTATGGGTTACTATCTATCAGTTGTGCCACAGATTACTTAAAGAGACAAATTTGTTAAAAGTGTTTCAAGTGATATAAATATTAAATGTACATTCGCCAACTTTTAAATTGTCTCTTAAGTCATCTGTGCTTGCATTTCTTTCCCTACATGTCAGTGGCTCTTGCTGGATAAAATGATTCCTTCCCCTATTATGTCCTTTTCAGTATTGATGTAATGATCTAAGAAAAGACAACCTGTCAGTTATCAGCAATCTCAGCACTGATATCATTTCACGAGTTCTGACCTCAATAAATCCTAAGTCATGAAAGGCAGCACAATGAAAATGTCATGCCAACAATCTAATTTAGGCTCTATTTTCCACTCTGTCACTTCTGTGTGACCCTGGAAAAATAATTCATCTCTCTGAGCCTTATTTTCCTCAACCACAAAATGGAAAGAGTATCACTTATGAAATCTAGAGTTACGGAAAAGTGAATGGGATGGCACAAAGTGAAAGTTCTTTATAAACAGCAAATAGGAAGGCTTCCATAACACCGTAATTTTCAAGATTAAATGCATGTTTGAGAGGCAATTATACTAAGACAGACATCAATGAATACTTCTAATTATATAAACTCATCTTGTAATCCAGTGTCAATGCCACTCCTAAATCAGCTACGAGAATTACTGTTCCCAATACCCTACCATAAAAACTTAGACTTGGCTAGCATACAAAGAAAAATCTTCAAATGTGATCACTATAATAAAGAATGACTTCAAGAGTAGAATATATTCAACTTCTTCTGATTCAAGTATACTCAAATAGATCCAGGAATATGATGGTTCAAATAAAATGACATCAGATCAGTGTCATTAAATATCGACAAGTTATATGCAATGTTAAAATTCTCTACATTATAAAACCCAAGAAAATAACTATGTTCCAAAATCCACCAGGCTGTCATTCTTACATGAAATAAATATCCCCCTGCCACTTCCAATATAACCTACCATTCCACATTTAGAAAGCTAAGCTGGAAGGGCAACCTGTTACAGGTGTGACTGTGCTCACAGAAATGAACAGAATTACAGTGAACAAAAAAAAAAATAAATAAATACTAAAAAATATACTTACTGGAAGGGTATGGCTGTGGTCTGCGCCTTTTTGAAGGAAAAAGGCAATCTGCCACAAATATCATACACTGCAAAAATAAACACAAGAAATCTGAATGTATATGATTGAGCTCGTGTAACTATATTAAATTACCAGACGTAAAAGGTTTTCTCCTAGTACTCTGAAAAATGAAATACTTACGAGTCCTAGTAATAGTCCTGAAAGCAGAGTTGCTAAAGCAAAAACTGCATATGATCCCCAAACTGGTAATCCAAGGTCTTCAATAAAATAGTTATGGCAAGTCTAAAATCAAAAGAAAAAATAAATAAAAAATCTGGTTGTTTAAAATAAAAGGGTAGTGTCAAAAATGTTTAAAATAGAAATAAAACTTTAGTCCATACCCGGATCCACATAGATAGCTGAAAGAGTGCAGACATACTACTCATCCTGAAAGAAAGGAGAGAGGACTGAGAAACTGAGTAAGACACACAGCTTTGAAGCAGAATGTGTGTCTATCTATACCTTCTAGTTTTCAGTCTATAATTTCCCCAACATGACAGATTTTATTGCTGGTGTTAATCAAGATTAGTGATACATCACTGATTTCAAGCCTGTATTAAGAAGGCTCATTAATGAAAATTAACAGTTCTTGAATTGCTGTCACTATGTGATGTCCTCATAAATAAAACACTTGATAACTTTTTTCCTTGTCCCTACTGCTTTGCCATTAGCCTTTCACCTTTCACCTGATGATTTCTCCAATATACTCTGAATAACAGCTTACGAGCTCTGTGGAACCAGTTAAAGTCAAGCGTACTGTAAGCAAATGGCAACTCTTATTGACACTTAAAATTCTCCAAAGAGTGAGCAGAGAAGGGAGCCTGAAGGAAGAACTGGGAGCACTTGCTGAACTGATCCTTCCCACCTAAGAATTACCCACCTTTTGTGTTAAAATTAAATAAAACTTATCATAGCATTAGCTTGATATAGTTTAATGATATACAAAGAAATTACACTGAAAATCAATACTAAGTAATAATATAAATAAAAATTATTATTTTCACATAAACCCAAATAGTTTAGATGGAAAGTTAGAAAAAGGCATGCTCCAGAACTAAAAACGGTTTGTGGGTTCCGAACTGTTTCCCCTCTAGAGCAAGTGTTGCCACCAACACATAAAACTAATTCACACCTAAGCCAAAGTTCCTGTAGGCAGGATGACCCATCTGTTGCCCATCATCGGGTAGGTGAACACACTGACACTGGAAGTACCTCTTATTCAGTCCACAACACAAAAGGCATGGACTGCTGAATCCCTGAGGATTCTTTGAACAAAGTCTTACAAGCAACCCCTTCTACTGGAGAGGGGAGAAGTCATTTATGAGATTTCAAATTAACAAAAATCAGTTGCATTTTCAGTTGAACATAGAAAGGTGGTTCAATCATGTTTCTGTTGTTTAAATTGCAAAACGGGAATAGGAACAAGAACTGAAACATAAAGCACCGTAGAGCCTCACTACAATCAGCACTAATTAGGCTCTATCAGGAAGATTAGGTGCCTTAACTAGGTTGGCACGGTGGTTCAGTAGAGGGAATTCTGACAGCTACAGGACAATTCAATTCAGAGATTTTCACAGGAAGAGAGGTGTAAGGGAAAGGTGCTGAAGACAAAATTCTATTTCAAAATATCGCTTATGGCTGATCTTTCCTCCACTCCCAGAATCCAGAGCATTTTTATCTCTTATACCATTGGTGTGTATATACTATTGGTATATCTTTTTATATTTTCCTATCTCTTTATATTTTTATCTCTTATACCATTTGTGTGTATATACCATTGGTAGATCTTGGTGTGTATACCAAGAACAAGTGTGGTGAGGAGACAGGAAGAGATAGCTTAGCCACACCAGGATGAGTCCATGGGGACCTCAGCAAAACTCAGTATTTCTAGATGTCTCTCAAATGACCTGTGAGGCCTTACACCCCAACAGCTAGCAGGAAATATGCTATCTCCAACCCTTACTACTCCATATATCTAGCTATATATAAAGTCCAGTGGTTACTCATGCCATTAAGGGCACTGTTCATCCATACTGTTCAACCAAAATACTATCAGATGGGTAGAATAATTTAATCACATTAAGAACTGAAATCTAAAGTAGCAAGAGGAGATGTATGTTTGAGGTTTCTCATTCAAATATTAAGCTCAAATGATAACTTTACCCATCATATTGCTCAGTAAGACTGACTAGATTTTGATATGAAATGACCATGATCTACAGAGCTAAAATATTCCTGAAAAGGCTTTCAATTCTAGTGAATGCCTCCTTCTAGCTTAACAAGGATCAAAGCATCTGACTTAGAAGAAAAAGTCAAGCTAAAAATATCACAGTAAATATGAATGTACCTTAAGGGTCTATATAAATGCTTTATTTCCACAAAATATAATTGGTCCAGTTAATTCTGAAATAAATAAAAGAAAAATCCTCATACTTACAGAACAGAACCTGGACCAAACCATGATGAAACAGGTTCAATACTCTTCCACTCTTTCTCACTTATAAAGTTTATGAAGTCCTTCTTAGTCCTTGGGCCCTGATAGCGCCTAAATTCACCATCTTTACAACTAAAGAGGATCAGAATCACATTATTAAACAGAACCAAATAAATCTGTATTTGTTTTGCTATTTCTTTAACCTCATTTTACAATCAATCCTTATATTCAAAATCATTAGTAATGCACAAGTAACAAATTCTACTAATTGCCTACTCATAACATCTTAGCTCCAAATTTATTTAAACAATGGGGTTATAAACAATAATAAGCCTTAAGACTATTATTATCTAAACAATGACACACAGAAGTTATATGTCAATTATATCTCAATAAATATGTAATGAACATATATCTCAATAAATGTGTAATGAACATATTAAAAGAATGACTATATGTAAAGTTAGAATAGTGTCTGGCACTTATTAATTATTAGCTACTTTTAAGCTATCTAGGTTAAAAATTAAAGGCATTTTTCTGGAATTTTCAGCACTAATCATATCATCTTAGCCATGCTACTTTAAATTGCCAGAGGTATCTGGTCATATTTCCTTTCCTCCTATTTCAGTGATTGTATTTTACAGTCTACTTTGCATTCTTCCTGATAGGCCCCTCCCTCCCTCCCATTCCCAATGTATGGAGTTCTCATAGGTTCAAAAATTCTCTCTCTCCTCCCACATCTTCACTATTTTCAAACTGCCCTCAATAACACTGCCAGTCTAATCCTATACAATACTTCTATTTTTATCTCTTAAGTGCAAACTTTCAAGAGCTCCCTACTACCTACAGTAGGGTTAGAGGATCCTTTAGCCATCCAAAGCCAAAGACCACAAGGAAGCCCCCACTCAAAAAAACGTTTTGTAAAGGCAATGGCCTTTGAGCTGTTTTTGAAGAATAGGTAGAAGTTCAACAGGCAAAAGAATGGGCATAAACAATGTGAGTTAAAAAAGCACAGGAAATTCCAGGTAAGTTTAAGGGATGTTAAGAAGTGAGAAGGAAGATGAGAGACACAATCAGAACCAGTTAAGGGACATGTGGAGAAAAGGATTGAGTGAAAAGGGACAGTAATACTTATGGTGACATGAAAAGACACAAAGGGAGTAGGGATGAATACAAAAGTAGAGGGAAACAGACATAAACATGAAAAAGAAAAATGACAAAGAAAAGTGAGATATAGACACACAAAAAATTGCCAGCTTGCTTTTATAATTTAAATGAGAAGTACCTCCTGGCATTCAACCCACCAACTAGATGAACTTTAAGGTATCGGGCAGGTACAGGCAATACCTCGGAGATATCACAGTACCACCCCAGTAAAACAATTATCACAATAAAGTCACAAGACTTTTTGGTTTCCAAGTACATATAAATATTTACTATACTGTAGTCTATTAATGCTATGCAATAGTATTATGTCTAAAAAAAATGTACATACCTTCATTTAAAAATATTTTATTGCTAAAAAATGTAAACCATCATCTGAGCTTTCAGCAAATTGTAATCACTTATTATGGGCCACCATAAGAAACAGAGTAATGAAAAAGTTTGAAATACTGCAAGAATTACCAAAATGTGACACAGAGACAGAGTGAGCAAATGCTGTTGGAAAAATGGTGGATAGATTCGCTTGACACAAGGTTGCCACAAGCCTTTAATCTGTAAAAAGCTGTAATATCTGGGAAGCACAATAAAATGAGGTATGCCTGTACAGATTTGAGACTTCCTATCCCCAATTTAGAAGATAAATTCAAACTAAAAGACCTGATACTGAAGACTACATAATTTTGCTCATTCTGACTTAGCACTCAATCATTTCACCTACTACTGTCCGAAGACTGAGCTATAGCCCTTTCTTAGTTCATTTTTGAACATACAATTTCCCTATTTATGACTGTTCATGAGATTATTCAAAGGATGAAATGCTTACTTCTGCACTCTTTTGAAAATTCAGGGTTGCATTTTCATCCCCATATTCTCCAGGAACCACCCTACTAGCCCAGTGATTTTTCCCTTACCAAACTTTCTACAAGACTTAACAGCTCTGGGCTCATAATCATTTACAATGCTATATGGCTTCACACGATTTCATGTGAACACCACCCTCCAAAATAATTACGAAGCTCTGAGACCAGGGACTGTTTTATTTTTCATTTTTTTTCTAAAGATTTTATTTATTTATTTGACAGAGAGAGACACAGTGAGAGAGAGAACACAAGCAGAGGGAGTGGGAGAGGGAGAAGCAGGCCTCCCGCGGAGCAGAGAGCCTGATGCGGGGCTCAATCCCAGGACCCTAAGATCATGACCTAGGCTCAAGGCAGACGCTTAATGACTGAGCCACCAAGGCACCCCAACCAGGGACTGTTTTATACCTCAACCATCTACCTAAAGACACCTAGGATAGTGCTAAGAGCAAAATGAGCCTTACTGAATATAATGCTCTTTAAACATGACCCAGGCCAGAGGTCTACTATTCTGATTATACTATGTTGCATCCTTCTCCATAATTACAGAATCTTCAAATACTTACTGATAAATAGTAGGAAGAGCAGTTATGATAAATCGTCCACTCAGCCCTAAAAATGATAAAGATTAGAAATAAATACAAGAAAGAACACACAACAGGTTTTATATAAGCCAACAATCACTACTTAAAAGTTGATTCTGTATTTAAATACTAACTGGGAAAGCATATGAAATTATACCTAAAAATAGCTGAGCTTTGTAACAAACAATAAAAAAAAATCCCAATTATGTACTGAAAGAAACTTTAAAAAATCAACACTTAGTAGGAAGGGAAAAATGCAGGGGGGTGGAAATCAGAGGGGGAGACGAACCATGAGAGACTGTGGACTCTGAGAAATAAACTGAGGGTTCTAGAGGGGAGGGGGGTGGGAGGATGGGTTAGCCTGGTGATGGGTATTAAAGAGGGCACGTACTGCATGGAGCACTAGGTGTTATACGCAAACAATGAATCATGGAACACTACATCAAAAACTAATGATGTAATGTATGGTGATTAACATAACAGTAAAATAAAATTAATAAATAAACACTATTGCATATTATCTCAACTAAAAGTACGTAAAAGCTTGAATACTGAAGGTATCTGTGAATATATATGTATTAACATTTGATCAATTATACCACTGTATGATAAGATGAGTAATGGGGCAGCACAATATAACAGTAGTTTTAGAAAGGTCTAAAATCAAATGAAATTGCATTTGACTTCAAAAAACAAAGGCAGAGTCTAACATGTTGTTAAAATGGAAAATATTTTGAACCTTTCGTAAGATGAGCAATAACAATAACATTATTAACCATGTGTTAGGCAATAATATAACTAAGGATTAATCTCTCTATGCCTCAGTTTTCTTATCTGTAAAATGGGGATATTACCTCACAAGGTTGTATAGGATAAATGCAAAACACTTGGAGCAATATCTGTACTAGGTAAGCACTCAATAAATATTAGCTATTATTACCATCTGGGGTGGGAACGGAGTCAACATATCCAGGTTTATTGTGACCAAGAACACATAAGATGAGGCTGGTCTAAGAAAGGAGCATTCTTAAGAACAGAGCCTGCCACTTATTTAGGGGGCCAAGTCAGGAGTATATTTGACCCCACAACCTTGAGGTCTTTGTATTAAAAGCATGTCCTCAAATCACAGATATTAAATTTGAAACCCAATTAAGAGATTCGGATCGCTGGTCAGGGAATGTGCCCTTGGCTCTACAAAAAACTTCAACCACATGCTCCTTATTCTGAAGCTTGATATGGATGCAAATGATGGTTTTTCCAATGTCCACCTAAACCACAGTATTCTAGGACTTCTCAAAGGCATCTTACACGCTATTCTGGGGCCTGGGATACAAAGGAAAAAAAGATCAGAGGCAGTTAAACGGGCAAGAATGGGGAGAGGGCAATGTCTCCAAGGTCCCTTAGAGCCACACATAAAAGGAATGAGTTGCATATACAACCACAGAATCTGCTTTCTGCAGCCACTGCACAAGGATCCCTCATCAGAGAGGTGGGTGAGTCAGCTTAAGTACTACAGACAGTTATGTTTTCAAAACCTAATAAAAGGTAGTTAAGACCAAGTGATGTGGCAAACAGGATGAACATATGAACCCAATCTGCAAAGACTAACCACAGACTTACAGTACCTGGCTGCTCTGTGACATCTACTTTTGCAACATTAACCTCAAGATCTTCTCCCCATTCAGCAAAACTTTCCCATTCTGGTTGAAGATTCTGACAAGCAGGACACCATGGAGCATAACTAAGAAACAGTATAAAAAAAGTTAAGCAATCTAATATGACCATATGGACATAAAAATTCTAAGTGTATAATTTATGAAGAATATTTTATACTAAAAACAAAACAGCAAAATGATTAATTTTGCGAAGATGAAAAAGTTTTAACTGTGGGTCTAACGTTCTGGAAATCAAAACTAACTGATAACGCTGATCACAGAAAAGTAATTCTGAAATAAGTTCTTAAGACACAAAAATAAGTTCATAAGTTCACATGCAAAACGGTTCTTTAAAAACCTTTGAATTTCTCAGGGTGCCTGGGTGGCTCAGTCGGTTAAGCATCTGTCTTCGGCTCAGGTGATCCCAGGGTCCTAAGAAGGAGCCCCGAGTCAGGCTCCCTGCTCAGCAGCGGGGAGTTGGCTTCTCCCTCTGCCCCTTCCCCCACATGTGCGCTTTCTCTCAAAAAATAAAGTCTTAAAAAAAAAAAAATTTGAATTTCTCCCCAAATATGTGGCAACCAGAAACCTCAAAACCAAATTTGGAGTTCACCAGTTTTAATACTTTGCACTACATGAGTCACAAATGAGAAAAATAGGAAGTGCCCACGGCTGAGGTGAACAAGGAAATGCATGCCCCTGCTTAAGAGGGGCACCATCAATCACTCAGCAAGACCACCAGGAAGGGATTTACAGCTAGGAAGCAGGCTCTATCTTATTTAAAAGCTGAAAATCTGCATTTTTATGTAAAAATGTTACCTCAAAAGTTAACCCAGACACAAACATTAGGCAAGCCAAACAAAATTCCTCTGGCCAGCCCTTGGTCAGCCAGTTTCTAAGACCTCAGGTTTACAAATCTATGGGTAAGTTTATTAGCTTTTTAACTACTCCTCTGATATTCTGCATCTTTCAAGGCCCTGACTTCTCCCTAGGATTTTATTCTTCGCTTTATTGCATATCGTCTTTTAATTTGCCTCATTTTTTTTTAATGAAACCAAGAAGAATAAAGCGTGTACTTGAACACAAGAGTACAGTTTCTACATTTCATTATATTTGAACTTATTTTATGAAAATAGAACTCCTAAAAGTAAGTGGCACTGTGGAACAAGACTAGTACCATACATAAAAGGGAAAAGTCCTTAACAAGAGATTGTATTTCAATGAAAATATCTCTGTAACAAAACTGATCAGGATGGATGTAATGCATATAACAGACTTGTAACAAGAGCAGACTATCATTAAGACTAGTACTAGATCCCCCTTTCAAGTTCCTTTTGTTTCTTAGGCGCTTTTTAAGTCTTAACCTCAAACTCAGTAAGCTAAAGGAAAAAGTACTACAGTATATTCTAATTTCACAGAGAAGTTCTAATTCAAATCCCCTAATAAATTTTTGACCATTGTATTTTTACAGTTTGATCAAACGAGTTTAAAAAAAAACTCCTAAGTATTACTTGACTGTATTTTGCATATAAATTCATAATCACTATTGTTTAATACTCATGAAACTGTGAATATTTTACTGGCACAATCTAAAACAAGTTATTCATGACAATAAAAACCAAATGTTGTCTCTGGTTATACTTCCTCTCCCCTGTATAGCTTCAATAGTGCCTGAAAATTCATTTCACTAAGTTACAGATTATACGTATACTACATAAACATTTTCCCCTATCTTTTCCTCCATATAAATATTCTATGCCTTTTTTAATTTTATGACTCAAGAGTTATTGATTTGGCCTTTTGAGCTCTCCTTTAGGGACATCCACCTCCATCCATTAACTGGTAACCCAAGCACACAGGAAAACACTCACCTGAACTCTGTTAAAGAAGGGGGCTGTTCTAACAATTATTGCATACCTACTCTTAGGCTTCGAAAACGGAAAGGAAGCCGGTATAGCAATACCAGGTCAGATTAATTAAAGCCTTTAGGTATTTCTCTCACTTGTAAAATGCGGGAAGTAATACCCATCTTACAAAATTTGTAGAGAATTAAATAGGATAGTGTATATAAAGTGCTTAGCAGTGTTTAGTACAGTTAACACTCAATAGTGGTGTTTGTTACTAATACCACTAACCCTACTATTATCAATAGTACTACAACCATCATCACCACCACCACCAATTTAGCAACCAAAGCAAAGGCTGGCAGTTTATTTTCTACCCATGCAGAAGAGACATTATAACAGAATCACCACAGACATATGATTTCCTCTGACGAGTAAATGATGACCCGGTGGTCTTCAGAGTTTATAATCACAATCATACATTAATTTTATTTTTTAATGCAATAACACTTGAATGTAAGAGTAACAATCGAAGATATTCAGTACTTGGCAAAAACACACATCCAAAGGAAAACTGAGATGCATAGAAAGAGAAAAGAAAAAAAAAAGATAAAGAAAATTTAACAATAACCCAACTTGAATTTACTCAGCACCTAAAATAAAAATATACCCAGTCCATAAAATAAGAGTCTCAAATTCCAACACTGTAAATGGACTGTTAAAGGATAATTAGACCAGGGCGCCTGGGTGGCTCAGTCGTTGGGTGTCTGCCTTCGGCTCAGGTCATGGTCCCGGGGTCCTGGGATCGAGTCCCACATCGGGCTCCCTGCTCGGCAAGAAGCCTGCTTCTCCCTCTCCCATTCCCCCTGCTTGTGTTACTGCTCTCGCTATCTCTCTCTCTGTCAAATAAATAAATAAATAAATAAATAAATCTTAAAAATAAATAAATAAATAAATAAATAAAAAGGATAATTAGACCAAAGGAGAAGTGAGGTTCTGCTCAATTTCCTGTTTTGTAAAATTTGGTGAAAAGTAAGTCTAGAAGTTTTTGAAAGATCATTCTATTATAGATAACGTATAGAAACTAGTCAGACGAACAACCTCCAGCCCCAAAGTCATGAAAAGTTGAGAGAATTCCAAGTTGAACGCCGTCTCTTACGAGCACCACAGCTCTAGAAACGAAACTGGGGGTACACACTTGAGAAGAAACTTAGTATTTCCCGATAAGAAACGAGGAGGGGGTGGGACCGAGCTGATCCGAAGAGGAGTTTAGGGATCCCGAGGAGTCAGGGGCGCCGGCTCCACGGCTCGGAGTGGAGTACTGGCGAGCCTGGGACCCGCAGGAGGTGGTGAATGGAGGTGAAGTCGGGTGTCCAGACTTGGATCTAGGACACGGACTTTCCGGCCCACCGAGGGGACCCGAGACAACCGCCCCCCACACTCACAATTCTATCATCCACTCTCCTTCCAGCAACTCTTTCCAGTTCTCGTCCGTGATGATGCGCACGTCGCTCCGCCGCCCGTGGGTCCAGGGAGCCCCCCAAAGCAAAAGCAGCAACACTGCCACTGGAACCACGCGACTCCCGGGGGGCGTCATTTCTACAGCTTGCCCACCCCACAGCAAGCGCGGCGGCCCCAACCTCCGCGCAGCCGCTGCTCACTTCCGCCCTCGCGAGCTTATCTGCTCATGCGCCTCACCGCGCGCTCCTGGGAACTCTCAATGCGCATGACGAGGCCGGGTCCTAGTGAGTTGGTTTGTGGAAAAGAGGGAAGCGCGCCTATCCCTAGTGCGCATGACAGAAAAGCGGTCTCCTCCCACCGCCTGGTGAGCCCCAGGACTTTTGGGAAGGAGAAGAGCAAACAGGAGGCGTGGCGAAGGAAGTGGGGCGGGGCTTCGGAGATGACAGGCTTCAAAATTGCTTCAGAATTTTGGCGCCAAATAATTGGTATTCATACTTAGGCCAATTGGTAAGTTTACACAAAAGCAATTTCCAGTTAACTGCCCTTTAGTTTTCATTTGTTTGTTTTGAAAATTTTTGCAGTAAAGCTAATGAATGTTTATGTAAATCAGAATATTGGTTTACTAATGGGGGATTATAGACTGCAAAGGTGCACAAGGGAACCTTAAGGGATGCTTTTCACATTCTTTATCTTGGTATGAACAGTTGGTTACACGAGCGTACACATATAAAAAAACCATCAAGGGACGCCTGGGTGGCTCAGTCGATTAAGCGGCTGCCTTCCGCCCGGGTCATGATCCTCGGGTCCTGGGATCGAGCCCCGCATCGGGCTCCCTGCTCAGTGGGAAGCCTGCTTCTCCCTCTCTCTGCCTCTGCTTGTGTTCCCTCTGTCAAATAAATAAAATCTTAAAAAAAAAATTAAAAACCATCAAGCTGTACATGTTGAGATTAGTGCACTTTATGCACTTTAGGATGTATGTTGCCCCTCAGTTTGTTTTTAAATGTAGTAGTTATAGAGATGTGAGATCTGAAATTTAACATGGGAACAAAACACATAGGCTTATAACAAATATTTGAGATTTTTTTCTCTCAAGCATTTGTAAATGCAAATGCAAGCCAAAATGTGCACTGTCTCTAGAAAGTATTAGTCAAACGATAGTGGTTGCCATTACGTCTCCTCACCTCACATTCTCTCCTAAACTCACTCCAGTTGGCTGACTTGCTCACCCCTCCCTCCTCTGAAAGGCTCTTTCGAGGACACTAGTGATCTGCATGTTAACAAAGCTAATTGTTTCTTCTCAGTATTCATCTTACTCCACTGGCCAGCAGCATTCTACCTCCGTGAAGCTGCTTTACTGTCTTGCCTTCAGTTGAGCCTCACTTGATTGTTTTTTCTCCTTCCTCACTAGGTGCTGCTTCTTGGCTGGTCCTCCTGTATGTGATTTCTAGACATCGGCTTGCCCCAGGATGCTGTACTGGCCCTTCCCTCTCTCTGTATCCACACACTTCTCCAGGTAACCTCAATCTGGCTGTATACCTGTCATTCCCATTCTGACCCTTCTGGGAAATTGGGAAATATGTATTCAGCTCTTTGCTGGACATCTCTTGGATATCAAATAGGCAGTTTAAACATAACGTGGCCAAAAAATAAAATTCTTGATTCTCCCTCGCCTAGTCTTTCCTCTCAGAAAAGAGCCCCAAGGCCCATCAGGTTGCTCAAGACACAAATTTTCATTTTAATTCTTTGTTGCTCTCTCTCTTCACCCTCCCTCATGTACTCCATCAGCAAGTCCCAAAAACTCAACCTCCAAAACATAGCCTGAATCTGAGCACTAATTTCCATCTCCACAGCCAACACCCTAGTCCACAGTTCTATCATCTTTTGCCTCTACTACAATAATAGATTCCTAACTGATCTCCCTGTGTCCTCTCTTACTTCTCTGAATAAGATCAAGCCATTTCTCTTTAAAGCTTTCCAAATGCTTCCCACTTTACTTAAAATTAAATCCAAACTTCTTAAACTCCTTACTATCACTTAAGAAGTCCTACATGATCTGAAACCTGCCTAACTACTCCCTCATGTAGTACTTGCCCTCCTCCTCCTTACCCCAGTGGTTCCCTGAAGATGCCAAACTCATTCCCACTTTAGAGAATTGGCATTGACGTTCCCTCTGCCTAGACTACTTACCCACTGGTCTTCGTATCACTCCATTTTGTCATTGATTTCAAATGTTACCTCTTAAAAGTCATATTATCCATCTTAGTCCACTCTAAAGCTGTGCCTAATATTAAACTGATGTCCTTGTTTCTGATCTGATTTCTTTCTTCACTCAATAAAAATATAAGTTTCGGGGTGCCTGGGTGGCTCACTCGGTTGAGCAACTGACTCTTGAGCTTGGGTCGTGATCTCAGGGTTGTGGGATGGAGCCCCACATCCAGCTCTACACTCAGCACGGAGTCTGCTTGTCCTGCTCCCTCTGCTCTTCCCCTCCCCCCCACGCTCATGCTCCCTCTCTCTCAAATAAATAAAAAAATAAAATCTTAAAAAAAATAAGAATAGGGCGCCTGGGTGGCTCAGTTGGTTAAGCGACTGCCTTCGGCTCAGGTCATGATCCTGGAGTCCTGGGATCGAGTCCCGCATCGGGCTCCCTGCTCAGCGGGGAGTCTGCTTCTCCCTCTGACCCTCCCCCCTCTCATGCTCTCTCTACCTCATTCTCTCTCTCAAATAAATAAATAAAATCTTAAAAAAAAAAAGAATATAAGTTTCATGACAGTGGAAAACTTCTCTATTTTGTTCACTACTATAATCTCTAAGGTATAGTGCCTAGCCACTATTAGAACTTAGTACATAATAAATGCTCAATAAATATTTGTTGAATGAATGAGGAAAACCATAATTACAGATACGCCATGCTTTTATTATAATGTATGAGCTGTATTAAGGAAGAATGTAACTATATTCTTATGTGTAATATAAAGAAAATACCTGCTGTTTATATCCACAGGGTTGATAAGAGGATAAAGTGAGTATTCTTTTTTTTGGAGGGTAATAATCTTTTTTTTTTCTTATTTTATTATGTTAGTCACCATACTGTACATCATTAGTTTTTGATGTAGTGTTCCATGATTTATTGTTTGTGTATAACACCCAGTGCTCCATTCAATACGTGCCCTCCTTAATACCCATCACCCACTGGGCTAACCCATCCCCCCACCCCCCTTCCCTCTAAAACCCTCAGTTTGTTTCTCAGAGTCCATAGTCCTTCCAATTTTCCCTTCCTACTATCTTCTTTTTTTTTTTTAAACATATAATGTATTATTTGTTTCGGGGTACAGGTCTGTGATTCATCAGTCTTACATAATTCACAGCGCTCACCATAGCACATACCCTCCCCAATGTCTATCACACAGCCACCCCATCCCTCCCACCCCCTACCACTCCAGCAACCCTCAATTTGTTTCCTGAGATTAAGAATTCAAAATGAGTATTCTTTGTAAGCTGTAAGTCATTCAAGATAATTTATTAAAATTTCATTTTAAGGGAATTTTTCATATTACAAAAAAATGCACTTATGACTAAAATGTGCAAAGTACCAAAGACTGTAAAGTGAAAAGAAATACCCTCTAAAATCTTTTCCCATCTCCTGTGAGAATTTGCACCCTGTAGGCAACTGCTATTAACATTTTCTTTTGTATGCTTTCAGACTTTTTCTATGCACATAAACTATTCCTTAAAAAAAAAACACATACATGGGGGCACCTGGGTGGCTCAGTCAAGCATCCGCATGCAGCTCACGTCATGATCTCAGGGTCCTGGGATCAAGCCCGGTGATGGAGCCTCCCATTGGGCTCCAGGCAGCAGCTATTTACTGAGCAAGTATTTCAATATTTTAACAACTGGTGCAGCTTTACTGTCACAATGTAGCTGAAGACTTATCCCAGGCTAGAGCAGTTCCTCTTCCTCTGAGAGCTAGTTTTGCACTGTTTTGGTTTATTTCATTAGGCTTGTGGGGAGGAGCCACTGCTGACCTAACTTCACTGCTATGGCTTACCACAAAAGCTCTCAAAGAAATACTCTTAAATTTGAGTTACTAAAATCAAATTAACCCTCCTAACCAATCAACCAAATCATCAAGTCCTGTTCATTTTAACAACTAAACTCATCTCAAATCTATCTCTTCATCCCACTGTCACAGCCCTGATATATGCCATCATCTTTTTTCTTCTGGAATCTTGAAGGGTTTCTTTTTTCCCTTTTTTTAATAATAATCTCATTATTGATATATAATTCATGTATCATAGAGCACAGCCATTTAAAATGTGCAATTTAATGGTTTTTAGTGTATTCACAGAGTTGTGCAACCATCACCACAGTCAAATTTAGAAAATATTTTATCACCTCAAACAGAAACCCCATATTCATTAGCAGTCATTCTCCATTTCCACCCAACTACCCCTTTCCCCAGCTCTAAGCCACCACCAATCTCGTTTCTGCATCTATGGTTTTGGGTACTCTGGATAGTTCATAGAAATGCAATAATATAATATGGGGTCTTTTGTGACTAACTTCTTTCATTTAGCATAATGTATTCAAAGTTCACCTGTGTTATAACATGTATCAGTACTTCATTTCTATTTATTGCTGAAGAACATTCCATTGCATGAATAGAACATATTTAGTTTCCATTCATCAGTTGATGAACATTTGATTTGTTTTTCTCTTTGGCTATTAGGAATAATGCTACTATGAACATTCATGTACAAGTTTTTGTGGGGACATAATGTTCTCATATCTCATGGGCACCCACCTTGAAATGAAAGTGTTTATGATACAATATCTAAGAAACTATTGCCTAATCCGGGGTTACCTAGATTTCATATAAGAATTTTATAGTTTGGGGCGCCTGGGTGGCTCAGTTGGTTAAGTGTCAGACTCTGATTGCAGCTCAGGTCATGATCTCAGGATTGTGGGATTGAGCTCCATGTCAGTCTCCACATGGAGCCTGCTTTAGATTATCTCTCTTCCTCTCCCTCTGCTCCTCCCCCACCTCTCTCTCTTCCTCTCTTAAAAAAAAAAGGATTTTATAGTTTTAGCTCATTCATTTAGATTTTTGATTCATTTTGAGTTAATTTTTATGTATGGTGTGGGATAAGAGATCTAACTTCATTCTGGAGCATGTGGATATCCAATTGTCCCAACACCATTTGTTGAAAAGACTATTCTT